TATAGGTATATCGTAACGCACGAGAAAACTTACCGAAATAGTTGTCGTTAGCTTTGATAGTTTATTGTTGTTGTTGTAGGTGTCGGTGTTTGAGTGTTTGATATTTGTACAAAAAGATTTGATTTTTTTATGGGTGGTAATAGGGAAAAGGGATGTTTGGAATAAGTAAATTGGTTTTGGCATAAAAAGAGAAATTTGAAATTTCATTAGAGGTCAATAAATATGATAGTTTTTATTAAGCTTTGCAATATAGTGACAACAGTATCTCGAGCACATCGATTCCAACACATATCACAAACACGGTTCGCTAGAGTATCCATTGTATGCTAAATGCTCATTTCTATAACTTATTGTTGTTCTTTCGATCAGTCGATTATCGTATGATATTTTATGTATTTACAGGTTATATAGATGAATCCATATATGTAGGAATTATATGGTGTTGGTGGTGGAGTTTGTTGTTGTTGTTCTTGGAGTTGGTCTTGTGTGTGGTACCTACCTGAGGATGCATATTCTCCGGGATGTACCCAGCTGCCTGTTACAGAAAAGAGAGACACAGAAAGAGCATGAGACAAGTGGCCATTGAGTCCCAGGGAGTGATTGCGTGTGTGTGTGCAAGTGTTTCAGTTGTGTGCGTGTGTATGTGTGCGCCCAGACAGCAAGAGAAAGAGAAAAGAATACGTTTTTGACGTGCTCTAAATTTAATCTCAAGTATCCACTGCTTACCCGTAACAATCTCATTCTCTTCGCTCTCTTCGTTATCCTGGAAGGACAACTCTTGGTACAGATTGTTGTCCGAGCGTTGCTCCTTCTTGGTGGTCGAACGACCAACTGGGTTGGGGTTGGGTTTTGTTTTATATATGGATTCGTTTTTAGTGAAGTTAACACAAACACAAACACAAAAGAAAATAGAATATTGGAAAATTAGTGCAGTTGCAGGTTAGCTAAAGGTTCAGCCATTTGGTAGACGCCTCCACCTACCATTTGCGGGCACATTTGGCACAACGGGACTTATGTCAGGACTCTGCGGCGAGGTGGCCTGATGTTGTTGCTGCAGCGCATCTGTTGCGGCGCCTCGCTCCACGGTACCAGCCAAATTATCTAGTTCGTTCTGCAACGAAGGCGGCCCGGAGTCATCAGACTGGCTGCCCACACTGCAAATCGTCTCCGTGTCCAACATCACAGAGTTCTCCAGCGAGGCAAAGCCATAGGAGACAGGCCCCGAGCTGCGCGCCACCGGGTTGAGTCGCGCCCGACTCACCTCCATGCGATCGGAGGCAGTGCTCATTTGTGAGTGCGTTGAGCCCATTAGCATTTTGGTGCGTTCCATATAGTCCACATGGTTCTTGAACAGCTCCGTGTAGCGCTCGTGTAGCCTGGCATATTCCTGAGAGTTGCATGCAAAGGTCAGCAGCTGGTTTCCAATGGCCTCCAGTCTACTCACCTTCTTGAGGTCCGCCTCACGCTCCTCTAGACGACTGGCATGCTCCACACTGTTCTTGTGCTTTAGCTCCAGCATGCGCACAATGCTCTCTAGAGACTCTAGACGGCTGGCCAGTTCTTTGTTCTCCTGCTCAGCCAAGTCCTCCGCTTCCAAGAGCTGTTTGAGTGGTTTAATTAAATGTTGATTACAATTGAGCGCTCAGCCGCTCACCTTTTGCTCCGACTGCTTCCGTGCGCTCTTCTCGCGTTCGTATTGTGTAACAAGCTGTTCATTGTCCTCGCGCAGCAGCTCCAGCTCCACATCCTGTTCTTGATTGATGCGATACGAGGCATCTAGGCACTCCAGCACGTTCACCAGCAAAGGCATCAAGTTTTTAACCACATCCTCGTCATAGCGATTGATCATTCGCTCGAACTCCTGATAAATGCTGCCAGCCAGCTGCTGCACCTGTGAAAGGAAGAGAGAGTGCATCAATTTCAAATGCCAATGCAGCATAGACAACAAGAGCAAGACGAAGTTTGTGCGAGTAAGATAGATATAGATATGGATAGAGGCAGAGATGGAATGAGAGATGGGCGCACTTTAAATGGCTTAATTAAAACCTATCATAATTGCGGTTTGCGGCTGCTTTGTTTTATGAATGGAACACTTGAAAACGCGAATGAAAGCCCAATGAAAAGGCATGCTTAAGCGTCGCCAGACCCCGCGCTGACCCACAAGATGGTTAGGTAAGAGCAGGCAATGGGAAAGCTTGAAAGGTCAAAGTTTTAAACTTCCCATGCCGTTTGGTTAGTAAAAAAAACAAAAACACAATAAAAAAAACCTTAAACTAAGTGCAAAGCGTAACAAATTAAAAGAGAGATAGAAAAATATAATGTAAACAAATTAAAAATCGTGCGTTTAGTTGAACGTTTTAAGTGAGACAACAAAATATTAAACAAACAAAAAAGAACCAAGAAATTTTCAAACTCACGATGCTGCCAACCTCTCCATTCTGAAAGAGAAAGAGAAAAAGAAGAGAAATGGGCACATGTAAAATACTCAGGTTTAACAAAATTAAAGTTAACACATAAARGTAAATAAATAAACAAGTCGAGAAACCCACAAAGTGCGAAGGCCAATGAGAAATGCAAGTGCGAATATATATAAATGATATAATATGAGCATGAAAAATTGTATTTCAATTCAAGATAGAATAATATGTCGATTATGGGTAAATAAATATAAATATCATGGGTACAAATTTATAGCTTTGAAAGAGAGCTTAGGGCATAAATTAAATGATTTTTCTTTTTGAATAACTTTTTTATAAAGTCGATTATAACAGTTTAAAATCTAAGCTTTAAAGCTAGAATTAATTGATTCACATTTTCCTAATAAGTTTATTTTGATAAATATTTCATATTATTATTAGCAATAAGGTTCATTCCTTTTATTGAAATTAAATTTATATATGTATTATAAATTACTTTATTTAAATATAAAATGACTGCATAAAAGTGAAGCATATAAATTGATAATAAAATGTCGTATATAAAAATCAATAAAAATTATTTTTATGGTCGTTTCATCAAGATTGGCTTTTCCGCATTTAAGACCAGCATAAGACAATATTTTGCTTCGAGGTCAAGCTATATACATATTTATAAATATATATTTGGTTACCTATAAGACTAAATCACCATTCTGCTCTCAAGTTGATTGAAGTACAACCAGTTTTAYTATTCAGCAGCAGCAGTTGCTTTGGAAAGTAAATACACACATACATACAGACAGACATACATATGTACATGTCTCACAGCTGTGACGGAGTCGGCTGAGTGAGTCAAATTACCTAACTCAATATTAACTCAATTAACAGGTAGTTCAAGTGGCAGCTGTCTAAAGGGCCTTTGGCATGAGAGGAAGCTCGATGAGCTCATTCCCCAAGCATTTGCATTGAGGGCAGCCCGATTAAATCCCTTGCGAAGCTGATAAAATGCAAAAATCAATGACGCTGCTTTGATTGCCAGAAATACGGCTGGTAGGCGAGTGGCGCTCGACTAGCTGCTACCCTGTAAGCAACTACATACACAGTATACGAAGTAGTAAAGTAGAAACTCTAATATGCCCCGTAAAAAGCTTTCCTTCTTTAAAGAGTATAAAGCATATAAAAGGGCCATCCGTTAGTATATGAAGGAGAGAAAGGGACGGGCTGGGAAGTAAGAAACATAAAAATAAACTGCTGAGCAAATTGCGTGAGGCGACATTAAATTAGGCAAACGAGCGGTTTATTGATTTCTATTCTCTACTTCCACGCGCTCTCTCGCTCACTCTCTCTTCCTCTTTTTTGCAGACACTCTTTGAACTCCTTTTTCGGGCAGCACTTGTGAATGTCAATGACTCGCCGCGACTCTGCTCAGCTGATGCATAATAAACAAGCCGGAGCCAGCGAGTGCAAGAGAGATAGAGTGGGAGTGAGAGAGAAGGGCAGAGTTATAGATAAATAGCAGTCATATGTAACACTGATTGTGCGTGGCACTTCCTGTAAAGCATGCCAAATTATCTACTACTTATAAACTGTTGCCGAGATATGAATGTGGTGTTATCGCATAAGCGTTGCCCGCATGAATCATTTATTGTGGAGCATACCTTCTCGGACATGACCATATTGTTGTCCTCGGTGCCGTAGACCGTTTCGGCGCCCGACTGCGGTCCACAGTTGTTGAGCATTGTGTCATCGTTGTCCATCATGCTGATTGTTGTTGTTGGTCTTTGACTSTCTCTCTCTCAATTTTGTATTTCTTCCTAATTACGCATTTGAGTGTGGGTGAACGGATGAGTGTGTGTATGGGGTTGTCACACGTCACGCGTTATGCAGCTTTCCACCCCAWACAACAACAACAGACACTATCCAGCTACTGTGTGTGCTGCACCCACACAGGCACACACACTTGCATACATATACACACCAATACAGGTGCAGTGGTTGTTTTATTTGTTATTTGTTTTCGTAGTGCTCTCTGAGTTATGTTTCTGTGTTTTGTATATTATAGATGTAGCTTGATTATTTTTAATATAATTGCATTCTCTATTTGTTCTGCGTGTCACTTATTTGCGTTTTTCGCTGTGGCTATGTTTGGCCATCAGCCTCTTGCCCCCTCCATTTGCGACGTATTTTTGATTACTTTTCATTTTTTCGCGTACGTTTTTCGCACATTTTAGCTTAGTGTCGCACTCAATTTATGTAAGAACTATTTAACCACATAGTTGGACTATAATTTGAAACAATTTTATCAGTAAAACACGCTGTTTTCAGCGCATTTTATCAATAAAATATGTGAGAACATCAGCCGAGCAACCGATTTTCGTGATGAATGAGAAATGACTGTAGTGTTGGCAAATGCCAAAGAGACTCAAAGTGACCGTATAACAAATGTTAGATATTTATTGCACGTATAAACTATCGATATACCGATGACGTCTTTGACACGCTGTCTTTTGACGTTTGTGTTGTTGCTGGATTTCGATTTCATTTTATTTTTTTGCATTTGCATTTAACAAATAAAAGATCAACATGGTGTTTGTTAAAAACTGGGAGGACTTTGAAATTGCCGCGGAGAATATGTATATGGCGAACCCACAAAACTGCCGATACACCATGAAATACGTGCACAATAAGGGGCACTTACTGCTAAAAATGACGGACAATGTGAAGGTATTAAAAATTGCTGAGAAATAAATAAAGTGTACCTAATGTATGTGTATTTGTTTTCAGTGTGTGCAGTATAAAGCGGAAAACATGCCCGATCTGAAGAAAATTGAGAAAATCACAAGCAATCTGGTTGGTCATATGGCGTCCAAGGAGTAGCTAATGCAACAAATTGGCCACGGCAGCAATTTGGATCAAATGAAACAACAACAACAACATTATAAACTATTTGCTGTTGGTGTTAGCTGAACCGTTTGCTGTGTGTTTCATCCTACACTTGTTTAGTTTATAAGCGCACTGGACCCGCGGCAGGCTACGATGTGGTAACAAGAGTAGTTTACTGTTTAAATAACATTGTTATAAATGTTAGCTCTGTGCACAGCAGCCAGCCGAAGAATAAGGGTCCCGGTGCTTTTTTAAATTTATAATACTTTTGTATTTATTGTAATGTAAATGTGTGCAGTTAGCTGCACTATGGTGACTTATTGAATTAGTCCACATTTCCATGAAATGCTTTAAACAAATTAAATGGTGTTTTTATAAGAAAGTAAAATTTGTTTATAATTCAGTTATCGATACATATTTATTAACGACAAGTGTAAAATGAACTGTAGAGGGCGCCGTGAAGCCGTTAGCAGTTTAAAATTTGCGATTGCATGAAATTAGAATTTTCGTATTTTCGTGCAACTTTTTATACTTGTTAACTGGAAAGTTTTTGGCTGCTGCCTACTTAGGTTGAAAAAATGTTAATTGCCTAGCCATTAAAGCGATTAAACAGCCAAAACAAACAATTGCCAATGCACAGGTGAGTCAGTAAAGGTGAGTGCGTGAGCGAAGGAAAGAACTTTAATGTTGTTGTTGCTGTGGATGTTGCTGGTGCTGCTGCTTTTGCTGTTGCTGTAGTCGCTGACCGCTGTTACTCACTTAATAAGCGGAGAGTAAATATTTAAATATTTGCATATGAGGCACTCGAGTTTATTTGCCACAGGAGATTGACAGCAATGCGAGTTTGATGCCTCACATCATGAGATCATGAGAGACACAGTACTCAATAAAGAGAGAGAGAGAAAGAGATAGATCAGTAGCCAAAGTGTTGTTGACCAAATGCCATAAGAAGTGTTTGTCCATGCAGAAGATGAGAGATGAGTACCTGCAACTAGGCAACTCAGTAGCCACTTTGGATTAAGGCATCCAAACGTCTCGACGTTTGTTTGACCCACAGAATGCGAAGCGGTTGCTTTTGATCGGCTTCGTCACAGACCCTACAGTTGCAGCTCAAGCGTCTGCCACTTGGCTTTGATTAGTGGACATCGAAGCCGACTCTGAAGAGATCTTCTCACCTGTCGTATTTCCGGCCCCACAGGCCGTGGACAAGCTCATTTGGCTTCTGTTTGCCCGTGGGTCCATTCACTATCGGATGTTTGTGCTTTTCGAATAGCTTGTTTACCGTGCATTCATTGCAATCACAATCACACTCACAATCTCAAACACAATCTCAATCATAATCAATTGGAAATGCAATGACATCGTAAACCACAAACTGTCTTCTTGGCTCATAAATTTGAAAAGCCACAACAATTACTGTGCTCTGCTCCTCTCTCCACCTATCAGAATCGAACAAATCAAATAAATAATAATAAACTATATGATATCGTATGATACGAGGAGAGCGTGCGGCCGGGCTTCGGCTACTGGTATTTGAAAACCATAAACGCAACATTCAATCGATCGTTACAACTCGATAAAGTAACACCACCACCATCCGAGTTTAATTAGGTGCACGGTCTGCACAGTGGGTCGTAAAGCCTATATTTTGGATAGCATTTTGATGGGTTTCCATAATATAGTATATTTCACCTTCCAAATAAAATTAAAATGTTGCTTTGCTCAGATTATCTGCCTCTCTCTCTTCTTCTTATTTGTTTAATACTCCTTATTTTTGTCATTTTTGAGCACAATCTGCTGTATGTACCCCATCGTACACAGTCGACTCTACATACGTGGAGTTACCCACGATAAACTTGACAAATAACATAAATGCTTTTTATTGCGGGTGGTTCAGTTGGGCCTGTGGTTGCGGCTGATTGGGGAGGGGGCTTTACGCGTTCGTTCCATAGACTTGGGTGTACTTACTACTAGTATTACGCGACGATGCATTTTATGACACCCACTGGCGTCAATTATAAAGATATTTAAGTACAGTTAGCTAGCAATTAGACAGGGTCTTCCAACTGTCCAAGGCGAGTAAATCCCTGAGATTTCTTTGATATATATACGTATGTATGAATATAGATATCTGTAGCTACTATATAAATTACCGCCATTGATAGTCGGTCATATGACAATTAGCTGTAAATTAAGTCCACGAGCAAGTGCAAAGAAATAAGTTGAGTTAATACTTAATACTTAATAACAATTGCGCAAGGCATAAATTAGTTGGAGGTGGGTGTGATAGGAACTTCGTCATACTCGCTCACTGAGCAAGAATGTTGAAACTTAATATATGTATTTATAAGGAGAGTGGCGATTTGCCTTTAAGAAGTACTTGAGAGCTGGATAGTTGGATGGATTGAGAGGGCAAGCATATAGAGAGCCAGAAGGCAGAGTGACTGAAAGACAGCCAATTCACCCATCATACTTTAAGTGTAAGTACAAAATGAGAGAACCTGAGCATAGGCAGATATTCACGAAGGCTTAACGAACTTAGAGACGAGTCTGAGCGACTGCAACATGCTCTTTGCAGCAGGGCTCTCCCGTTTGAAGTTCTTAGATTTAAGAGCAAACAAAACAGCCATATAGCCTGTATATATTCCATTTATTTTACTATAGGAGAGCATAAAGAGGAATTGCTAATAGACCAGAAGGGCCTATTATCAGCTTAGTTCAAGCAACTGCTGCACTTTCCCTCTGCTGCAGATTCCATTTTCCAATGACCCTTCAATGTTTTTGATTTGCCCACTTCAAAGGCGCCGCAAAGCTTGATATGCACAATGCCAATATACTCTGCTCACATTGTGAACACTTTAGAGAGCACCGAGCAGCCATTGCCGTAAGTCGGACCGCTTTGCAGTTAGTTGTTGTTGAAGTTTGCATTGCTTTGCTTTGAGTTTCGCCTCGGCTCGTCGTACACTCGAGTTATGCAAATAGAGCCGAGTTTAATTATGACCATTAGCCACTGTTGAGCGGCTACCGTTTTGAGTCAATACACTAAAAACCAAACCTCTCTCTTGATGGAAGCTTTTCTTTTTTTGGAGTGGGTCGATTGGTATTTAAAATTGTCGCTTTGTTCGGCAAATGAATGACGATTCGAATCGCACGATAATGCTCATTAATGACCAAACTTATTGACGCAAGCTCATTGACCGAACATTGCGATATGCCGAATTTGCGTGACTCACCCTACTTCCAATGCGTAGGGTGGCATTAAAACTAATATTGATTCAATTTCAAGATTGTGACAACGTCGATCAGAGATAATTTTAAATAGGTTTTTATTATTAAATGTGAGTATTGTCCTATAATAACTAACACGTTTTAGAGATAAGTTTCAATGGATTTTTGTTCGAATTGCTTAGTACAGAGACTATATCGATATATATACATATGTATGTAGTTAACTTTTCTAATGATTGTTTAAATTATATACTCTTAAGTATTTATTTATATTTCTATT